CACCACCAAGTGATTTAGACAAAAATTCAGGAAAAGGGCCACTTGGAGTCCCTATTTCCCCCAAATATTCCCCCAAGCCCCTTCACCCCCTTTCCTGGGGAGGCTTGAGAATAATATACTAACCAATTGGTTACACTGTGAGCACAGACCAAGCCCCTTGGTTTTTAGGACACTGAAAATCAATCAGGTTCTTAAAAGAAGAATTTTATTTAAAAAAAAAAGTAAAAGAAACACACCTGCAAAATCAGGATGGAAGATAACTTTACAGGGTAAATAAAAAGATTTAAAACAGAGGGATTCCCCTCTGACTCTGCTTCCCAGTTACAAAACAGGAATGAAATTACCTCTTAGCACAGGGAAAATTCACAAGCTAAAACAAAAGATAATCAAATGCATTTCCTTTCCCTTACTTATAATTTTTGCTCATTTCAGGTATGCTTTCAGGAGATGTTTTTCCTGCCTGGTCTCTCCATCCAGAGAGGGAACAAACAAAGAGAGCACAAACAAAATTTCGCCCCTTCCTCCAGATTTGAAAGTATCTTCTTTCCTCATTGGTCCTTCTGGTCAGGTGCCAACCAGGTTAATTGAACTGATTAACCCCTTACAGGTAAGGCAATTCAGTACAGCTGCCTTGTGTATATTTATGACAGATGCTGAGATTCAAAAAGTTAATGCTTTATCAGTGGTTAAAATACAAATTGTCTACATCATGTTAGGCAAAAAGATTCTTTTCCCCAAGAATCAGGCAGGCACAGACAATACTGAAGTAGGTTTATTCACGGTACCAGGAAGACTGATAAAAAGCTTCAAAAGTGTAGTACTACAGTGACCAATTATATACCTTTCTCTTATCACCTCATTTGCATTTATCTTGTTCTTACAGAGACAAACATTGTTTCAGAGACAGAGAATGCATTTAACATGACAGTGACAGGAACAGAACATATGCATCAAACTGTTTTGATTACATCAATTATTCATGAATACCTTAAGGCAAAGTGGTGGGGTAGGGGTGAGTATTTACAAATATCTGGAGGGCTGTGAAGGGAGGATTTGTTCTATTCTAAGAGCCAAGTTACTGGGCAGACATTTGATCATATAAGTTTATCAAGTGTTTACAGTTGTCAGTGTCCTTGGGCTTCTGAAGCATTCCTGCTTGATCTGTGGTTTCTGTCTTAGCTGTTAGCTAAATTGTAACTCTTGCCTGACAATCACATGTCAAGATATACCAAGTAAATATCCTTAAATAAACAAATCACACCTATTTTTACTATTAATTTGCTAGTGCATTTGTAACAAACTTAATTCAAAAGTCTAACTCACTGGAATTTGACTCTCATAAGTTCTTAAGCCGCATTTTTCTTACTTTACCTATCTGTAAATTTTGATTATTATAGATAGAAATGTTGGTTCATGGATTTGTGTGTGTACAGCAAAATAGATGTTTGCCAACATTTACAGCTAGAAATGGAATCATTCCAAGCCTCCTTTTAACTTTTACAGTGCTGTGATAAATAAATAAACATCAATATTATCAAAGGGGACTAGATCAAAGCACATTAACAAACCGCTAATCCATATCAGCAGGGTGCACAGGGTCAGTTGGCCGCAGCAAGCTTGATCTGGTCGACAAGCCTTACATTTTCTTTACTTTGGAAAAGGAAGCTATGGAATTTTATTGATTGATTGATTGATTTCTACAATACTTTCTTTTTCAAACACTGCTTAACTTTATAGTAACAAATTAACTTCCCTCTTTTCACAGTCAAGTTGAAATCAGTGGTAAACTGCATGGGTTCCGTGACAGGGATGATCACCGTGACAAAAATTGCATCCATAATAACAGTGAGATTAAGTTACTTGCCTAACTAGGAATTGAACTCAGATCTCCCAAGTCCATCTATCATAGTTATCTGGGCCTCATTACCATAGTATCTGAGTTCCTAGCTTCCACTGAACAGGGCCTAACTGACATGCCTAGAGTGACACAGGTAGTACATGGTGGGAGAGGAAAGTGAACCCAGATCTCCAATGTTCAAGGCTACTGCTCTAACCCCTGGATCAGCCTTTATTTCTATCTTTTTCTTCCTCACTCCTCTCCAGGTTCTTATCCCCACACTTTCCACAAGCAACTTCCAGTTTTCGGGTGCCCACCTTAAGAAACACAAGGGCCTAATCCTCCAAGGGGCTGAGTGTAACAATGCCCTTGTCAGACCCTCTGTGAGGTTCGACCCCTCGACCTGAAATCATGAGTAGCTCCTGCCTGTGCTAATGGACCGGGCGCTAGTGTCGTAAGAGTACTTGGGCGTTATAATACCGAACTCCTAGGTGCCCTACTACCTAGTGGGATTCTCAGCCCCAAGTTAGGTCCCAGGCTCCCCATGCCTTGTGTGGGGAGAGTTAGGCCCCTAGGAAAGGGCTGTTCAGAAGCCAGCTTGCTGAGCAGGAAGTTGCCTAAACTAGCCCGAAATGAGATGCAGAGGAATGGGATATGGCTGAGGGCTCAGATCCTCAGAGGTATATAGGCACCTAACCCTATTGATCTGGGCCTTAGGCACCTGACTAACGGGCCAGAGACACGCCCTTCCACCCACTCAAGATTCTCAGCCGTGAATCCTACCCTGGAGTTAGATGCCTAATCTTGTGAAAAACCAGGAAGACAGCCCCCATTACAGCCACTAGCTTGGGATTAAAGCATTCACCTACGATGTGGGGCATCCCAATGCAAATCACTGCCCTGCCTGATTTGGAGTGGGGATTTGAGCCCAGATTTGCCCCATCCCTGCTGTGTGCCCTACCGACTAGCTACTCCAGGGTGGTTTTCCAAATCTCTTCTGCTGGAGCAGTTCTATTTCATATTAAATATGCATTGGGCCAGAGAAAGCAAGTGAGAGAGACTGACTCTATAGCCAGTGCTTAGGGCACTTTCCTAGGATGTAGGAGACTCAGGTTAAAGTCCTGCTCCAGTAAATATTCTGGGTGTCCTAGCCGTTAGATGGGGACAAAGAACCACATAGAGTTACATGAGCACTAATCTCTGTCACTGGGAGCTGCAGGTGTCTCAAGCTGGAACTCCCAAAATCTGTAGTTACTTCTGAAAATCAGGTTGTTGGACCTCGTCTACCCTACAGGTTCTAACAGTCTGAGATCAGCTGGCAGCCGAGTCAGCCCTGAAGGTGCTTTGTGTCCGCACATAACGGGGTTAATACTCAGCAATTAATCATGGCAACTAATCACATCACCCCTGCCGGATACCTG